GACATATAGCCAGAAGGAAAGATATGTTGAAGATCATGAGCATGTTTGACCAGTTTCTGAAAAAGAGGTGAAGACACTGTGAAGGACTGGTATAGGTGGCATCCAGACAATTTCTGGAAACTTAGAATTTTTCACCCCGTATCTTAACTACAGCATTACTTTTAGTGTAATAATGAAAACTAGTGAGATGCTGGATATACTAACACATTCATGTATATGCTTTTTATTACTCATTTAACCTCACAGAGTAAACTCAACACGTTCCAAATATCCCAAAAGGTATTTTTGAACATTTAAGAGATATCTGTAATTTGGAAGAAATTTAAAAAAATCAACTTCAAAATATTTTGAATGATAAAGTATAATTTATCTAAATTCAAGAAGCAATAAGCACAATATACAGGGTATTACTTTGGAAAATACTAATTATATGATACAGCTAAGACCTACAACCTAGCTCAGAAACCAACTCTTTAAGAGCTAAAAAAGGTCCCTCACAATCTTTTCTTCTACTTGAACACTAACAGCAGCTTTGGCTAGATTATAAATATTACTAAGTATTATTACTTTTAATGACTTTTCATTCACCCAAAAATATGGTGCTGAGGGAGGTTTGTGCACATACATTTTTACAATGCTAAAATTTAATAGCACTTGCTATTAGAAAAATCAGAATCACATTTGTGTCATAGCTTAAAAGGCAGGAGTCCACAGGACACAGTGAACGTCAAAGGTGAAAAATCCATATTTTTCAACAATACACTTTATTTCCCTTGGTATCAATGTCTGATAACTGTTCAAATTTCTGTTCTGGGGCCTGGCGCGGTGGCGCAAGTGGTTAAGTCCTCGCCTTGCACGCCCAGGATCCCATTTGGGCGCCGGTTCTAATCCCGGCAGCCCCGCTTCCCTTCCAGCTCCCTGCCTGTGGCCTGGGAAAGCAGTCAAGGACGGCCCAAAGCTTTGGGACCCTGCACCCACGTGGGAGACCCGGAAAAGGTTCCTGGCTTCGGATCGGCATAGCATCGGCCGTTGAGCTCACTTGGGGAGTGAATCATCGGACGAAAGATCTTCCTCTCTGTCTCTCCTCTCTGTATATCCGCCTTTCCAATAAAAACATAATAAAAATAAATCTTTAAAAAAAAAATTTCTGTTCTGTTGCACTTACTGATCTGGCAGATGTTAAACCTTTTCTGAATTTTAGTTCTTGTCACTTATTGTAAATGAAGGTAACATAAAAATAATTATGTATATTTCTTTCTAGAAGTAAATTCTACAATAACAGCAATTTCCATCACTCTGGCAGACAGAAAAATATAAACAAGAGTTAGGTTCTTCTCTCTGATGTGCTATTTATACTTCAGCTTAAACCAGAGGCACTGGTGCTTAGAGCAGTGGCTGACACCAGCTGGGATGCTGTACACCATACCAGTAATACCTGAGTTCAAGTCCCGACTCTGGCTCCCAACTTTAGCTTCCTGCTAACGCACACCCAGAGAAGCAGTGATGATGGCTCTAGAGTTTGCATCTCTGCCACTTACTTAAGAGTTCTGTATTCATCTCCAGTGAATGGCTTTGACCTGGCCCACCCCTGGTTATTCCAGGCATTTGAGACACAGACTAGCAGATGGGAATTTCTGCATGTATTTTACTTCACTTTCAAGTAAAAACATTTCATTATTGGGTTCACAATGTGCCCTAAGTTTTAGTATATCCCCCCAAAAGCATTTAGTTATTATTTTGGCCACATATCTAGAAACACAAATTGAAGGTCTTTCAAGAATCATGCAGAATTCTTTCAGCATCCTAAGTCTGGGGCTGGGAAGAACTCTCAATATCATCAAAGTAATCAAACATGTTGTAAGAGAAGAAAAGCAACTTTTACAGAAAGCCACACATATTCACTCTAGTTATATAGTTAAGATATCAAAACCTATTTCTTTAAACTTATTAGTCCATTGATATACACACACATGATTCTGGCTTCTCAACATTTTGATTTGATTCTATTCCTTCTTTTCTGGTTTATGGTGCTTTTTTTCTGATGGTTTTCATTTTTCCAAAAGTTTGCTATTTCAATGGATCAGACAACTGATTCTTTTCTGTTAGGTTATGACTCAAGCAACTATTTACCTTTCCTTTCTATGAAAACCCTGATTTACCCCAGATATGAAAATATATTTGGGAAGACAAACTTCTACTCCCACCCCAGGGGAAAAACCAGGCAATGACCGAAGCTAATCTCATTCTACTTTGCTGGTGGATTAACACTGACTTGTACCCAACAGAAACTTGGTACAGGGGCGGGGGGGAACAGGAAGGATCATTTGTGCAGATTCAGGAGGATATATTTTCCCTTGGTTTGAAGAAAAAAGTAAAATGTGTAAGACCTTTCTCTACTTTCTCTGGCTGTTTGTAATAAGCATACAATGCAGTTGTCATGATCTCTTATGACCCAGAGAAAGCCAAGAGTCACAGAGAAGCTCAGTCAGGGTTCACATTGTTCTCTTCATGAACCAAAAAACCCCACCTTGCTCTAGATTCCATAATTCATTGGAATTTAGTCAGATGTGCAATTATTTATGACCAAAAGCCTCCAAATATATAAACTCAACAATGTCTAGTGAAATCACCTTACCTACTCTTTATAATAAATGAAGAGACTTCCTTCTCAAGCTAAATAATGGGGGTGCATAAATTTTCTATGTTAAGAGTTTTGTTTAAAAAAATCAATTAGGCAATGTTACTAAGAAAGATGCTATTTAGTGATCCACAAACAGAAAACTTTAGGCTTTGACTAAGAACTAAGCTAAATAAGCAATGGCTTAGCTATTAAAGAGACCAGTTGGGCTGCCTTCTTCCCATGTAATTTGGGTTTAAGTTCTGGCTTCCTGTTCCTGTGTACTCTGGGAGGCACTGGGTGACAGCTCAGGTCCAGGTGCGTCAGGTCCTGCAGCACACACGGCAGCCCTGCACTGCATTCCAGGTCCTGGCTTTGGCTGATCCATTTACAGCTATTACAAGGATTTCAGATGTAAACCAGCAGACACAAGCTGTCTCTGCATCTGACTATAAAATCTACCTAAATTGGAAAAAAAAAAGTGAAAAAATACAATGCAGAAGCAAATCTGAAGTAAAACATATTCTAAAAGCTGAAATAACTTTAAAAAATTCATAGAAAGCTATTTTACAATATTTGTTATTTTCAAGTACATATTTAAATAAGTTTTCATAAGTAAATCATGATGACATAAGGCTTAAAAATATTTACCACCTATCATAAAACAGTACATCTTTAACATCCTGCTTTTAGAAAAATCCAGTATGATAAAAGACAAAGAACCAAAAAAAATTACCATCTTAAATTAAATAACAGCCAAAGATTTAACAAATCAATATTAAGAAACGTTTCCAACATCTAAGAATCGTAAGAGCAAGGCCTACAAGCAGGCATGGAGGCACCTGTCAAAACAGACCTCTCATCCTCGGAGGCAGCCTCTGAAATGCACTGATGGACAGACTGACACTCAAATTACTGAGCCTGAATGAGTCTCTAAATTTTAGGACAATTTGTATATAACAGAAAAGCAATGTTGTCTGTAATAAACTTTGTAGTGATGAAGAAATTAATCAGAGAGTAGTGTTACAGTTCAAACTTTCTCACCAAGATAGTAGTATTCATTTGGACTATAAACAACAAAACAAGCAAACAGTAACAACAACAAAACTCCTAAGAGTTAAACAGAACATAAAGCTTGCTTTCTTCCTTTTCATAAATCTGTATTCCTAGAGCTTTTTAAAATTTTTGTCTTAAGAAAAGCAGACTCCCAGGACATTCTAATAAGGTAAAGTGACCAGATGTTCCACTTAAACAAAATTCTGAATCAGGTTCATGTTTCTAACTAAATATAAATATGAAGGTAATTCACTTTGAAGAGGTTTACGAAAAAACAACAACAACAACCAAAAAACCCCAACATTTTAGCCAATACTCAAGATCAGAATTAAACATTTCAGCCAGTGAATCAAGTTTACTAAGGTAATCCAAGTTTTAAAGACAAATTTTCAGTTTTTTGTATTTATCAATATCAAGTGATCACAATAGTGCTAAATGAAAGCTAGGAGAAAAGATGTGATTTAAAATGAACTTTCAAGGTGTGTATTCTCAGAACTACAGTCACATCTTTCACTTCTCTGTAACAGTAACCTCAGGAATCACATTTTTCACTGTTCCATAACACAGACCTATGTCTGTCTCCAATGAAAATATAAGCATTAATGAATTTGATCTTACTGAACTAAATTTTGCACATTCAGCCACAATTTAGTAAATTAGTCACATAAAAAGAAAAAAATAATCCATGTCTCCACCTTTTCTAAAATTGTCTTGCAGATGAATCCTGACTATTAAATCTACCATATGTTGAAGTTTGAGACTTTCAAACAAAAATATGTATCTTCGCTTACTGAAAGCCAATCAAAATAGAACCAAGAGTTTGCAATGCACTCACTGTGATTATTTATAGAAAGCAAATATGAGCTCATGATCAAGTTAGGTATATTCAAAACTTTAAAGAGGATCTTCAATTTCAAGTTCATAAAAAGGAACCCTTATCTGAAAAGCATACTGAAGTATTTCACAGCAAGTGTCATGGTTTCAAGTAGAAAAAGAGAAAGAGCAAACGTGGCCAAATGTTATTAAAGTCAAAGCTAAGTGAAGAACATCCGGGTGATGTGAAGTTTTATTTGTTTTTTCTCCCAACCTTCCAGTATTTGAATAATTTCAAAGTAAAAAAGCTTAGAGAATTTTGGTTCTAGTATTTTTGTACTTTTAGGTATTTTCCTAAATATACGGCCAGCATTTTCATTTTTGCCTCAAGACCTTTCTGTCCTCATTTAAAATAGCAATTACAGAAATGTGTTATGCATTTGAAAGAATCATAATTCTGGGAAATAGCTTTTAAAAACAAGTTTTAAAGGCTGCTATTAATAAATTGTTTTACCTGAAAGTTAACATCTTCTTTCTTAAATATTAGTGCTCGAACTTCATCAGGATCTCCATTGAATATAGCTTGCACCAGTGATGGCTAAAATACAAAATAATAAAAGCATTAGTCATGCTACCCGGGTGATTCTAAGGGTATTTTTGAATAACCCTAAATCTCAAACTTTTCTTCACGAACATTAATCATCCTTTGATAGTAGCCAGAAGTTTCATTTAACTAAATCATATCAATGTACAGGATTCGTCCTTAGAAAAACAGCGCAGAATTTTTTAAAAATAAATATTTGATTTTTTTATAAATGGAAGGTTTTTATTTATAAATGCTAAAAAGAGACTCTTGTAAATCTCAATCTGACATTTCAAAATCTACTTCTGGAATAAAATGTGTTATATAGCCAATTCCCAGATCATATTAAGGCCCATGAAGGAAGGGCCCTTTACAAAGCTCTAGGTAAGGCTAACACTATAAATCTCAAAGAACAAATCTGGTAGCTGATGAAATAACTACTATTCAAAATTCCATACACTGAATAACATGAAAAGACAAACACACGCATGTTTAAATATAACCTTCTAATAAATAACACAGCCTCTTTAGTGTCACATTTTACTAGTCAAATAAGGATCAAGTATGATTTCATTCCATATAAGACCCTGCATGTAAGTACAGAAAAGGTGATGCCCTGGCGTTGCTGGTAGCCAACCTCTGCTCAAACACGCAGAGTTCCTGATTCTTGTTATATCAGCTTCTAAAACCACAAGATGAAAGCAGAAACACAGTTGCCATTACTACTAATATTATTTTTAAAACACTTTTTAAGAGATTAAGAGATAGTAAAGCCTGAACTATTACTCACGCATTTGAAAAGCTAAAAAAACCAGAAATGTGTGCCTTTTACATACATAACACTACAAATTTATACACATCATTGCATTAAATTGGTTTTTAATAAAATTAGTGGGAACTAACTTATGCTTACTCTTTAAGTAAAACTTACAGTAGTTCAATAGAATGTAGTAAACATATAAACTCTCATATCTTACCAATACATTTCCAGGTGGAGGATGTAGTGATTTATTTTCCTGCGGCAATTTAGAAATGAACGTAGGAGATTCATCTTCTACCTCCTCCAAAACAACAATACAGACTCGACTCATTGGGTCTGTGAAAGCACTGACTTCCAAGCTGTGTGATGAAAGTCACAGCTGGCAGAGCACAAGCAGTGTTCCTCCTCTTCTGTGTAACACTTACAAACATTCTCTGCAGAGCAGAGCTGGATGTTTAAAGTTAGTAAGCACTGTCAGGAAAACTGAAGTTGAAAATTATGCCTACAAAAGCTCATGAAATCCTAAAAACAACCGAATTCGATTAATCTTGCACTACGTTATGTCACTGAGACGTCTGACACCAATATGCTAATGACTAAAGCTGAGTCTGGAACAGGCTCCCTCAGCATTTCTCCCTGCCCAGACAGTCATACTGCTCTAGCTCTGAAACCCACTTGCGCAGAGTGACCACTGGCTTGCTGATACAACAGCATACAACGAGGAATCAAATGAGAAGCAACTGCTGTGACCGAGATGGTCACAGCAGACCCACTCCTGCCTGCAAGGTCATACAGTTACCAGGAGCTGGCTTGCTTACAATTGAAAATTAAAAATAAAATCTCACTAATCCCGCTTTTGATTTGTCTTCATTTCCTCAGCTTCACTGATTTAGTACTATCCAGAGAACTAAATAAAAAACAACAACAAAAGAAAAAAAAAAGAAAAGAAAAAGCCAAAAACCAAACCTAGAATTCACAAATTCACAAAACGAACATTAGAGGTTGACAATTCTTTCAGTGCTTGGGAAATGGAAAAAAAAATACAAAAACAAAACAACCCCCCACTCTGCATTAATAGCAAAGCTGCAGTACATTTACATGCGATGAGTCAGACCACAAGAGACAATAGGGCTCTTGGTACTGGAACACTGCTTGATTAATCCAAATTTTCCATATAACAGAAGAAACACAGATCGCTTTATTCCCATCGGTAGCACGAGAAAGGCAGAGTCGTTACTCCTTCTCCATCAGGCAGCTGTCTGTGGCTGCTGCTCCAGCACAGGGCACCGGCACCGGACAGAAATGGTGTCAGAGGAGGATCCGAGCAGGACACACAGCCTGCAGGAGGAACTCAAGGGCATCTGAGCTCAAATTACTGCTTCAGGTTTTTCTTTAAAGACCAAAACCAAAACCAAAACCTAGTAGTTTATCATTCTAGTGTTTCCTCTGATCTCCACACGAATGCAGCTTCCATTAAATGGTCTTCATTCAGAGTAAAAACAGCAGACCGCGCATCTTCTTTGAGCCAACTACTTTATTCAATCGTCTGCCTCTGTGCCAACAGTCTCTTTCCACTGAGAAAACCGCTACAATTATTCTTGTCGGTAGATTTCAGATGCCTTCGTTTTCCTCAGATAATCTTGCAGAAATGTCACCGACATCCCCACTGAATAGATCCTTACGAAACAACCGTTGAACCTCAGTGTTGGCCCCACGGAAGCATTCCAAGTGAGCAACTGCCTGAAGAGCAACGACCGCAGACCCGCCAGATGAGATGCCCAGTAATGCTCACATGTCACACTTTACCAGAGAGCTGAGCTGCTGCTCAGGATGGAACTTCCTCTAGCAGAGGAAACAAACTGTACGTTTGGACAGCCTTCACAATTAGAAGGCTGATGCCAGTTCTGTGACTAATCCAGACCAAACCGAAAAATTCTATAACTGAAAAATGAGTGTGCTTTTAACGTTTTCCACTAAAAGCCACAAGGAAATCTGGTGTACTGCCTCTGCTGACTAACACTGGCTTTAGCCAAGTAAACAATTCCAACAGCTTAACTGCTTTCACATGTACAGTATAGCCAGCTTTTAATCCCATGTGGGCAACCACAGTAAAAATAAAACTTCATGGAAATTAGGGAAAAACATTTTCAAAAATATTCTATGAGACTACACAAAAACAATGAACCAAAGTTTAAGCAAAAGATATGTAATATTTCTCAATGATTTCTAATTGTTGAATTCACACAATTTAACAATTTCATAATGTAAACATCCTAACTCTAAAATTCTATGAATCATGTTGATTTTCACTGAAGAAATGAACACTGCTACCCTACCCTCTTATCTGAATGTGGACATAAAACTTTGAAATCTGTTTAATAGCTACATACACAACACGAAGAAAACACTCTCCTACCTCTGCAAAATAATTTTCCCAAAGCTACAACTAAGGCTCAAAAACAGTCACTGGTGATTGGTTCTCCTCTCCAAAGACAGGGATGCTTCCCAAGAGGAAAACTGCCACGAAGATGCCATGGTTTTCCTCCAATCTGTTTTTTCCTATCAACTAGTATTTCTGTTACTAAACAAGATAGTTATTTTTGAACATTTATGATATATAAGGATTATATACTCATTTAATTATCAAACCATTAAAAACAAGAGATACAGATAATGCAAGGACAGCAGAATTTAAGAACAGAAAGCCCTGATGCCTATATATAATGCCAATCTCTGAGAGACACGCTTTAACACATAGTGTGTCAAGAGTAAAAAAAAATGCTGAGAACTCACTAGCTGTAGTTTAACATACATTACATTTTCAAAGACATGCAAATACTTTAAACACGTTGTTCACCTCTATGTGCCTAAATCAAAATATCACTTTAATATCTGAAGATGAAACTACTATAGTAACAAATCCCATATATCCATCTTGTAATTCTTCCACCAAAGGAAAATCTCTCTTTTTCAAAAAAGATTTATTTATTTTTATTGGAAAGTCAGATATACACAGAGGAGACACAGAAGAATATCTTCTGTCCATTGATCCACTCCCCAAGTGGTCACAATGGCCAGAGCTGCACCAATCTAAAACCAGGAACCTGGAGCTTCCCCAGGGTCTCCTACATGGGTGCAGGGTCCCAAGGCTTTGGGCTGTCCTCGACTGCTTTCCCAGGCCACAGGCAGGGAGCTGGATGGGAAGTGGGGCCTCCAGGATTAGAACCGGTGCCCATATGGGATCCCGGGGCACGTTCAAGGTGAGGAGTTTAGCCGCGTGGCTGTTATACCAGGCCCAGAAAATCTCTTCATAATACAAAATATCTACTGCATAAATTCACCTTCTTGGACCTAAGCAGGTACACTTGTCACTTTCCTTACTTGGATCTTTCCCAACCGGAAAACAATCCCTTTGAAGGCAAAAACTGTGATATTGCACATATTGTTTCCTTACTCTTTAGCCAGCTGTAAATAATTTTACTGAAGTGAGCTCTTATATAACCCAAACCTCTAGTACAGGGGGATAGAATTATACACATAAAAAAATGGGTGACAGAATTATAAGAAGAATGAGTGACGGGATTACAAAAACGTGGTATTTAAACAGGAAATGTAGGAGACATTAAGGTGTAACAAAAATGAGTTTGATGCTTCTAATAAATGAACAACTAAAATTTGAAAGTTAATAGGATATAAGAAATGTTTCAAGGTGATGGCTTTAGCTAAGGGCTCAAAGATGGTCTACCTGAAATTCACAGATTCCTTCACTTCCTAGCTGTGTCCTTGCAAGCTATTTCAATTCTCTAGGCCTAAATTTTTCACACTCACAAAATGAGGCTAATAATCACTAGAGATTTTTATTGAGGACATACTGTAACAGCACTATGGCTTAAGAAGATTGGTTTTATAGTCAAAATGCCTGGTGCTGTAATCCCAGGCTATTCACTAATGGGCCAAACCTTGTGACCTTGAATTTAAAAAGTACTTAATCTCTTTATTTTTGATTCAACATCTATAATACAACATTAAGGGAATCTATTTCAAAGTGCTGTGACGTTTAAACAATATTAGGTATATCTGAATGGCACCCTTTGTGAAGCAGTGAGTTGATATTAAAGGCTGCTGGTTCCCGCTCCATACTGCAACAGTCCCAGGCACCTGGTGCCAGTGAGGGAATCCAGACTAGCAGCTGGAGACAGCCCTTTAAAGTGCTCAATCTCCACTTTTTCACTGTTCAGAGCTCTCTTATTCTTTCTTTTTTTAAAAAAAAACTATTTTTGATGATGCTTACATAGTAGGTTAGTGTGGGAAGGGTTGTGGATTAGGGCAAAATGGGTGAGACCACTGTTTCCAAATTTCTTTTTCTTCTTCCTGTATCTGAAGGAAATGGGGAGACTAGAGGAGAAGCTGCACTCAGCCTCTCGACCTCCTCAGTGCCGGGGAATAGGAAATGCCACCCGATGCCATCCCAGGGTCCACAATCTGCAGCAGGCTCTGAGGGTCCTGCTCAAGTGGTTTCAGTAGTTCTGACATTCTGTCGATCTTGCAGATCCAAGGATGAGGAAATCCTTCCAAGGTCCATTGGCTGACCCAGTCCACCCCAGAGTCTCCATTTGTCCAGATATTTGCTGTCAATGCTTGGTGGGGTAGTTGACCAATTTATTCTGTCCTCCATCCTCTGTTATGGTCCCAGATGTCCTCTGCAGGCCCCAATGGCCTGCCATATCTTCCATGTGCATCCGGGTATGCCATCCACTGCTCCATCTGAGCCACCGAGGAGGTCCAGTTTGGACATGTGCACTCCACAGTCAGAGCATTGATTATGTTATGTTATTCTCACCATCGTTGAAGCTCTGAGTCTAGCAGTTCAGTTGGGGGTGGGAGGGAGTCCATAAACAAAACAAAACAAAAAACTCATCTGAAGTAACCCCAGAGCTGACTCCTGGTTGTACTTGCTAGTATAGGGTCAGGCTCTGTCCATTAACCATTTTTGCCTATGCACACCCAGCTGCAATTGCTGGGTCAGTTCTGCCTCCAATCATGCCTCTTATGTAAACCACCAGATGTTGTGGTCCAGCTGAGCCCCACCATCATACACTCGCATCTCAAGTGCACCAGCGGGAACTGTAGCCCAGATTGACCCCCAACAACCTTCACTATCCCGCCCCCAGCTCTGACTCCTGTGCTTGCCTGTATGCACAGCAGACTGGTTCAGCCTGTCCCACACCCCATTCAGTTCTTGAACACATCAGTGGGCGTTGAAGCCTAGCTCAACCCAACTGACCCCACTTTCCATCTCACTCTCATGCTGGTGGGTGCCTCACCTGTCTAGTCAGGCCCACCCCAGCCAGCCCTGGTTCTCATGCTCACCAGTGGGAGTTGCAGCCCATCAGAGGAGCTCACCATTCCCCTACCAGGTTATACAGGGGGTTATACAGACTGTGCTTAATGAAAGCACAGTCTTTCATTAATTAACTCATTTAAAACAAAGTAAGGTTGTCTATCACACTTAAGGAAAACTACTGGTACAGGTAAGGACATAAAAGACTAAAAGGCAGTATGAAGGCCTATATGAGATATAGACTATGAATGTCTATAATCCCTCCATGGAACAGGACATGGCACATGAACATATTAATTAACTATGGCTGGTATATAAAGAAATCTTTCAACCTCACTGCCCCCTTTCCTTCTAATTTATTGGAAGGGCACTTTTTCTTAAACTAATGATTTGCCAGCTGGAATATCTAACACCAAAACTCATCCTGATCATTACATTTTGCAGAAAATGTTTAAAATGAAACTGAAAAACTATCACAATGCATGAATGCTTAGATACTTTATACACACACGACTAAAATATCTTAAATTGAAAAATTTCAGTAATATTTTGTGCTCCAATGTAAAAATCTTCATTTATTTCTAAATATGGATATTTTAAAAGATTTGTCCATTTTCGTTTGAAAGGCAGATTTTACAGAGAAAGAAGTAGCAACAGAGAGAGAAAGCTTCCATTTGCTGGGGCATTCTCCAATTGGCTGCAATAGCTGGAGCTAAGTTGATCAGAGGCTGGGAGCCAGGATCCTCACTCGGGTCTCCCACATGGGTGCAGGGTCCCAAGGATTTGGGCCATCCTCTGCCACTTTATTAGACCACAAGCAGAGAACTGGACAGGATATGGAACTGCTGGGACACAGTTGGCATCTTTATGAGATGCTGGCATCACAGGGCAGATTCTAGCATACTGTGTTATCACACCAGACAGTTAAAATCTCAACCAATTTCTTAATTTTAAAAAATTTTCAAAACTTGTACATTTTTATATTTACAGCAGCTTTTAACAAAGATAATAAAATTTTACTGGATATCACCAAAATGTATTTAGCTATCATAAAATTTACATTTGAGAAAGCAAATACATGTAGCCATTTTGAATTATACTTAAGTTTTCCAATTACAAAGTCTTTTTAAAATTTAAATCAGTAAAAATTATACAAATTTAATAAATTTGTTCTTCAGTTACGTTAGCTAGTCACATTTGACCAAGGACTATCATATTGCACAACACTGGTTCAGACCTAAAAAGACCAACTTCAGTTACAAACTAACTGTGCAGACAGAAAAAAAACACAAGTATGTCATCCACACTATTGTGCTAAGGAAGAAAACATGGTTTAGGTGTACAGAGAATTTCAGCAGGCAGACAGACATGCCTTGCGCCTGCAGTAACTAATGCCAGGGGATGGAGCCACAAGGACATGATCACTGATGTGGGTGTGTGAAGTCCAATATGGCATCTAAAAAGAAACTTTGCTCACACCCAAGGCACATGTACGCACGTGCACCCGGGGCATGCTCAGGACAGTCAGTGAAAAAGGAACACTAAGACTAGAGAAGACTGCTGGAAAAACATGTACTTACAAAACCACTTGGCTTCAGTT